CTGGCGGCGTCCAGGGCGGGCACAATCTGAAGGCGAAGGTCCGGCTGCCGGGTTGCACCATACGCCCAGGGGAAAGAGGCGCTGGGCCTGGGGTAACAGGATTTCCTCGCCTCCTGGGCGCGGCCGCTCTGGGCATGGCCGCACAAGGCCCCCTTTGTGGAGGGGCCCAGCTTCTGCGCAGACCGAAGGCAGCGAACAATAGCGCAATGTTGGCCGCCCGCCGGCCCAGGCTCTCCCGGTTACACCACGGCCGCCGAAGGCGAGGAAACCGGGTGGCGCTTTTTTATAGTCACAAACATAAAATCGGGGCTTTCTCCCCTTTCGCTCGCCCCCTACCCCAACGCCGATAGAAAGCAGATAAATTTATGAAGGGCGAGCTAAGAGAATAATTACAGGGTGAAGGCCGTTAAATTTTATTTCCAGTCCCAAAGGCAAAACCTGCGATTTTATTGCAAACATCTGGAAGGACCAAGAGGTGGGCACGCTGCTGGTTTAAAATAAAAACAAAAGATTTTATTTCGCGAAAACAAAAAAACATCATTAAAGACCCTTTCGCCCCCACGGACATTTATTTTAAAAAGTGTGAGGGGGTGGCAGAACAGTCAACGACGCACGCGGGTCCCAGAGCGCCCGGCAACCTGAACCAACCCGGACACTTGGACATGCGGGCTGCGGGAGTGGGCCTGCGCACTCTTTGCGGGGCCGGCGTCCGGTGGGCGTTTCCAGAAATCTGCTCCCTCCCACGCCCACCCGAGGGCTCCAGGCCAGTTTTGCCACCCCGTAACTGGGCACCAATTTGGAAGAAGAAGTGAAAAGTGGGTACGTTGGCTCCGTATTCCCCGAAGAGACGATCACAGGAACAGTAAAACCTCAGGTCTGTTCCGCCTCCCACCGATCATCTTGCCTGTTTTGTTTAGTTGTAAGGTATTTAGGGCTCCTTCACTCTCCAGGAGGGGAGACTGAGGCACAGGCCATGCATTGACTTGCCTAGGGTCACACAGTTAAGAGCGGAAGGGGACCTGTTCGCTAGGCTTCACCTGCCTTGGAGTCCGGAGGGTTACCCACCCCATAGTCGCCTCATAATGTTTTATATCTAGTGCCTAGACAGGCTGAATTCATTGTAATTGCCTCACCCCCCCCCCCCCCCCCCCCCCCCCCCCCCGGGTGTCCCACTCAAGTGTTTAAGGGCAGACTAAGGTGTCCTGCTGGCAACTATTTTTAAATTTGTTTTCAATTACTCAAAACTGCAAAGTCCCAGCGCCTGGTAGATCACCTTGTGTTGAGGCATTAGCATTGGTGGTATTCAGTGTGGAGAAACAGAAAGAGGACTGGTATATGGGCGAGGTAGGGCTGTGTTCCCAGGACGTTTGTCCTTATGATACAGAACTCTGTTGTTCCTTTGAAAAATCAAAATATCTGGACATGCCAGTTTCAAGTGAGCAGTCATTATGCTGCTCTTTCCTTCTGGGTATTTCTCCTGTCAAGGCTAGGACTGGCCACCCATTTCCCATAGGTCCCTTCCACTTTCCCCTTGATTTCCTCTGACTCTTCAGGTGCTTAATAACCCCTTCCTCTTTGGGACACTGCAGGGGATGGGGTGAGGGGAGCTCCAGCTTGTTCCTTTTCCATCAGGGTGAGGCCTGAAATAGACCAGTAGACCACCCAAGACCCAAGGTTGGAGGCTAGGAAACCGGGCCATTGCCTCAGGAATTAGCCTCACGCATTGGGCATCCCACTTTTATTCGTAAAGCTTAAAGGAGAGAGAAATGGGTCATGAGATTTTGAAAACCCTTTAATATAATGACTGGAGGAAACTGCATAGCACACCCCCAGATTTCTACATTTAATCCCCCCAGTGCTCCTTTTCTTCTCCCAATCACATAAAATTATACACTTAAGTCACAGACATCAAACCATCCTGCTTAATCTTTCTCCAGACCTCCCTACCCATCAGTATAAGGTCAAGAACCAAGGAATGCAGGACCCTGGGCTGGGTTGGGGAATGGGGGAGACTTAGATGACCCTACAGTCACAAAAAGAAAATATCCTTGCTCCTCCCATTTACCTGGAGGAGCACTCCCATTTTCCTGACTGATCCAAAGCAACCTGGCTTCATGACCCTCTGATTTGTTTTAATGGCCTACCCCACAATTCTAAGCTATGTGTATGTATGGGATGGAGGTGGGGGCCACTTATGTGTGACCGGAAGGAAGGATGTAGGAGCGCCTCGGAACTCTGTGCAGAGTGAATGTTTGGGGGTGAGGTGCAGCTGCATGCTGTTGAAGGGTATATGGGTATATGGTCACCTTCATCGTGCAGGCTTTCTGGACCTGCATAACGGTACCTAGGTAAACCAAAAGTTTCTCTTTTTGAGAAACGTTCACAGCCCCAGGGAGGGTGTATGTCCTATGGTGCATTTAGTTCGCAATCCATACTAAGTCTGCGGAGGGAAGGCGAGAGGCTGCCAGAGGGAGATGGGTGATACAGGCAATGGGGAGGAGGAAAATGCTGGAAAGGAAGAGAGGCTGGCCCCATTGCCGCTATCCCACTGGGCCTGGTCCCAGGAGGCCCCAGCAGTGACACCAGAATCAGGAGCCGACATAGAGGAGAGCCTCAGAGGAAGGTAACTAACTGCCTGCTCCTGGCCTGCCCTTGTCTCCAACTCTTTTGCTGAGGCCCTGCGGTGGTGATTGCGCTGTCATTTTCTGCCAGGGCTCCTGGAAGCAGCACAGGGTGGTGACTGAGGTGGGAAACCCTGCGTCTTGCCACCCAGGCTCCTGGAGTTTGCGGTGCAGCACAGAGGGAGACGCGGAGGGGCTTTGCAGCGGGCTTCTAGATCCCAGGGGTGCTTGGAGTGCTGCTCCGGGATCCCCAAGCCTGAGAGAGGCTCCTGGAAGTCACTGGAGGCCAAGCCTGGCTGAGTCGCACTCAACTGGTGGCTTCCATTATTCTTTCTGCATTTGCTGAGCCACGGGCTTCCTCTAGTCTGGCTGACACCCAGTGTGAGGAGACTCCCAAAGTGTTCTTATTTGCTTTCCTCTGGAGAGGCCCAAGGTGGATTCATGACATTCAGCCCCTTCCGTCCAGCACCAGAGCAGTTCCAACTACAGTGTCAAGGACTAGATTTACCCTGTGGTCAGGAGGCGAATGTGGCGTTTCAAAGGCCCGACAGGACCCTCCCTTCTTGCCCCAAGGTGGAAGGGCAGATGGGCGCTTGTTCTTCGGGAGTCTGTGGCTGCCATGGATCCCTCTGCCCTAGGCTTGCTGACTCTGTTCGGGGCCTGGCTGTCGGCTAGACTTGTCTGCGGAGCTTCTCAGTCTGGTCTGTCGCTCGCACTGGTGGGCTGGCTCTTTCCTGCCTCTTTGCACGGGGATAGAAGAGTGTCGACCAGGGCACTGGGATGAGAAGATCAGGCTGTGGTTAGGCTGCAGTCCGCGAAATACGAGACCTTTTTTTCTGCTTGGCAGGATCAACTTCTGGGCCCCTCTGAACCCGCTCAGCATTGGGCTGCGCTTGGGGTCTCATGTGGCAGGCGACCAGTAGCGTAACCCAGGAGGGGGTGTGGGAAATTAGAATGGTCAGAGTGCTGGATTGAGTTCCAGAGAAATCCCTGACGACCGCTCTGTCAAAGTTTTTTGGTTTTGTTTTTGTTTTTTAAAGGGTGGAGAGGGAGGATCAGCGAGCGGGGAGAGCTGGGTTCCGAAGTAATCAGATTTGAAGGGAATTCTGAAAAAGCTCTTCCGCTGTCAAAGTTACTGGCCGGCCTTGCCCATCCCTTCTCTGTGGGTTCTCCAGAACAGGCGCTCCGGGCAGTCAACGCTCAGATCAGCATCCACGCCGAAGGGAAGGCGAGCATTTGCTGTGTGCGGGCCCAGTCAGGATATCAGCCGAGCGTGCGGTAAACCGGGCGCCGCACCGCGGGCCTCTTGCTTTGCCGAGTCTACGTCTCCTTCTTCACCAGGTAGAACTGGAAGAAGGAAGCGATCATTAGATTTACAGTTACAAGACCCTGGATAGTAACGGGGCGTCTTTGTTTATTTCTTTCGTTTTGCGTTAGCCAGAGTTGCTTAGAAATCGTATAACAGGAAAGTAACGTGTGTGGCGAAATCTCGGCTGACCCAGAAGAGCTTATAGCGTCTGGGGGCTGGAGCGAGATTATCGGGGTCGTTTTCGAGCGTTTTCGGACAGGTTGAGAGCCCCCAAACACCAGAGCAGTAATTAAAATCACTCTGGGCTTGCTACGTCTATGAGACTTAGCAGATTTGGGAGGAAAAGATACGCATTTGGGACGGGCAGGGGTTTGGAAAGGCGAAGATCAGACCTAGACTTTTGGCCCTCCCCTCTCCCCCACAGAGAACCCGTGGGGGACCGGGAAGCCAGGGGTTAAAGCGGCCCAGGAGCATCCCCGGACTGCCCGCGCGGAGCCTTGGCCCGAGCCTCAGTCTCTCCCCTCCTCTCATTGGCCCGCGCACCTAGGGTTTCTCCTGTTCCCTCCTCGCCATTGGTCGGGGGCTGGCTTTTTTTCCCCTCAGTCTTTCTCTTCCTCCCCCTCCCTCTCCCTCACCCCAAGGACAGGAGCGCACCGCCTGCCCCCAGCTCCTCGCGAAGGGAGGAATTTAGAAAAAAAAGTTTCCCAGAAGTTTGGATCAGAGGAAGGACGGGAAGACCAAGAGAGGAAGAGGGAGAGGGAGGAGAGAAAGGGAGAGGGAGGAGAGAGAGAATAAAAAAAAGATGAAGTCCAGTCTACACAGCCTGTGAGCGCCTGCCCGGGTGGGTGGGAAGCAGGACTCGGGCGCTCATGCAGCGAGCGGGCGGCGCTCCGGGCGCTCGTTCCTAGCGGCTGGGGCAGCTAGGGGCGCGGGTCGGAGCCGGCTGCGGAGGGCGGGGAAGGACGCAGGGGGAGGGTGCCGAGGAACCGCAGGGCCGCCGCCTCTGTCTCGGCCTCTGCGCCGCCGCCTCTCCCGGGCCCGGCCCGGCGGGCGCTCCAAGCGTGAGGGCGCGGGCTGCTCCCTCAGTAGCGGGAGCGAGCGGAGGCCGGGGTGCGGGCGGCTAAGATGAGTGAAAGGAGAAGATCTGCAGTCGCCCTGAGCTCGCGAGCACATGCCTTCTCCGTTGAAGCCTTGATCGGCTCAAATAAAAAGCGGAAACTGCGAGACTGGGAGGAGAAGGGGTTGGACCTGTCCATGGAGGCGCTGAGCCCCGCGGGCCCACTCGGAGACACGGAGGACGCGGCCGCACACGGCCTGGAACCTCACCCGGGTGAGTGCGCAGGGCCAGACCGAGGGAGGCGGGCGGAGAGGGGACGCCGGGCGGCCAGCCTGCGGGCGGTATGGTGTGGAAGGAGGCCTTGCTCCCTGATGCCCTGCCTTGCTCCGACGCGGGTTTCCTTTTCTTTGCGCAAACGTCTTAAGCTTTCCGCAAATTCGCTGCAAACAATTTGGGGGGAACTGAGCCTTGCATATTCGTCGTCAACCTCAGGCAAGGAGGCCTCGCTCGCACCCCCTTCTCTTCTGGGAGCGGAGCGCACTGTTCTGGTGTCTACAGCTGAGCGGCCGCAGGCCCCCGGGGGTTAAGGAGGGGTACAGATCGAAGGCGACCGCGGGAGAGGAGAGGGGCTGGGATTCGCTCCTGAGAGCTCCAGTGGACTGGCGTGGAGTTCTCTGGCTCAACACCCAGTCTCGGGAAATGCCCAGTTTGTCCCATTTAGCCTTCGACCTCGGTCCTCGCCCTTCCCCCACCAACTTTTCTGGGACTCAAGTTCTTGTGATTCCCCTACTCCGGGGACGACCGAGCATAATTATATTTCTATTTCGGTGGCGTTTACGGAAAAGGGATGTATGTTATAACCCTTACCCTGCGCCCTGGGTGACTCTTCAGGGCCAACATCTCTATGTATTGGGGGAAGCGGAGTGATTAATTATTGCCTCGGATCTATCCATGCACGTTATATGCACACAACACGTAAAACACAGAGCGGATGTTGGTGTCTCTATTTTAGCAGAAACCTGAGCGGGTAGTTGGTTGAGGGGGAACAACTTAACGTTTTGTATTAAGTGCCAAGATTTCAACTGTGCAAAACAGCCCGGGGGAACAGCTGTTGTCGGAAGAATCTTGCGCGCGCGCCCGCGCGAGCGCGGGCACGCGCGTCCACACACACACACACACACACACACACACACACACACACACACACACGGTCGCAGCTTGGTTTAGCGGTTTCAGAAACTTTCCAGCCAGGGCTTCTGCTGCCATTCTGGAGGTGCTCCTGCTGACCAGCTAACGTTGGGGAGTAAACCTGGGTCAGCGCGCCGGAAAGCGGAACGCCAGGGTGGGGGCGGCGGCCCACAAAGGGATGAGGGTGGCTACGGGCCCGAAGAGCTTGGGGACGGAGCATTGGGGCCCAGGGGCTTGGGGGCTGGAACACTGGCCGACCCAAGGAGGGACAGCTGTCGCTTACATTTTCTCTTTCGGCAGTGACAGTTCAATTTCTATGCTCCTGAGGCTAATAATAACGCGATTAGCGGGTGACTTGCTGAGACCGAGTTTTATGAATTCTCCGTGTTCTTGTGGCCCGTTACGGTATTTGAGTTTAGTGCTGGGGAATTATTTTTATTAGTCGATGAAAAGAAAATTAAAAGGAGATTTATTTCGTCCGCTCAAATCTTTCTCTGTGTTTGGATGCGGGTGCCTGTCCACGCGGACCCCTGTGTGGGCAATCCAGAAAGGAACGCGTAGCTAATGTGTGTTTCCCATCTCTGGCCAGACCCTGTTTCCTCACCGCATTTATATGTTGTCAAAATCCACTTGCGCCTTCACACAGTTTAGTGAGAGTTCTTTCAGGCCTCCTGGCAACTCATGGTTTGGAAGGTTAGTTTATTTTACTTTCCTGACGGTGGAAAAGACAGAAGTTACTTAACTGTGCGTGGTAGACACCCTGTCTGCAGGTACTTTTCTCTAGGGAGGGGTCCAGGTCCGCTGCACCTGGTCTAGGGTCGCTTGTTCAAAAGGACCAATACCTGTGATCATAATCAGGGACTCAGCTTGCAGTTTTCTCTTTTCCCCGGCCATAGTGAGGAGAGAAATGGTTGGGACTAGGAGAGACCATTCCAGAGACATAAACCCGAAGACCTGTTGTCCAGAATGCTCTTATCTCGCTCCCACAGTATGAGGGTAGGGGGTGAGGACCTAACATAGGACCTTATGTCACACCGAGTTCAGCTGACCCATTCCCATTTCATTTTTTCTTTTTTTTTTAAGAAAAAGATGGGCGTTTGGAGTAGAGAAAACGAAATACGTTTGTGGGGTTGAGGCCCAGGAGTAGGAAGAAGCTGAAAGCTGAGAGCACTCGGGGGCCTTCTGCGGGACGGGGCTACCAGCCCCGCCTGGCTGCGTCGTGCACCAAGGGGATGTCCAAGTTCGAGCCCCAGCAGTGGCCAAAGCTTTCTTAGGAACCGAACATAGAAAAGATCTTTCAGAAAAACTGCGTGGTGGAGTGGAGCCCCCGCAGTCCCCAGAGTGGAGGAGGCGGAGCTGCAGGTTCTGGGCCGGGATGGTAGCAGCAGAAGGCAAGTCCAGGGCTTGGGGTCCCTTGTAGGCCTTTCTTTCTTTTTCTAATCCGGCGCCCTAACGAACACGCATACATCACCTTTAAAGGTGTGTGTATGGTGATGGAGGTGGGAGAGGGGCCCAGGTGACTCCATTGTGCCCGAGACAAAGTCTCTGCCGTCCTTGGCCTCAAATTGTTTAAACTCTATTCCCAAATTAGGACCGCGAGCTGGCTGGACCGGCCGCGTGGCTCGCCTGCGCTAGCCTGTTGATAAGAAGTCAGAAATGGGTGGGGGAAACGACAACAGAAATAAAATTGCCACGAAGCTGGGGAAGGATAAAACAAACACGCATACAGACACAGGACACCCGCCTAAAGCAATCGTGTTTATCATTTTCACCATTCCCTCCCTCTGACGGTACCTCCGTTTTTCCAGCCCTTCCTGTCCGTGCCTTAAAATCCCAGGATCCTGCGACAACCCAAGGGTTAGATTTTAATGTTTAACTTTTATTAAAAAACGTGGCCTTTTGCTTTTTCACAGCCCGTTTTTCTTTCCGCGTCCGGACAGAGCTGGCTTTAGTTGGCGCCGAGCGCCCGCAGCCTGGGGCGCCAACCTGCAGCAGCGGGGGACCAGCCCAGCCTGTGCGCTGTAGGAACTCACACATCAGAGGACACACTGTATGTATTTCAAAAATTTCCACCGAGCCTGCTGGTCCCGAAAAACCCCGAGGCCCAAAGGGCCTTGGAGAAGGGCCTGTGAGGTGCCCTCATTATTGCCAGAACTCGTCTTCTGGAGAAGCCGGCAGACGCAGCCGCCGCAGGCTCGGGAGGGTCTCCGAGGAGCCTGACTCCCGGGCCTGCTTACCCCCGCCTCTCGCCGAGCAGCAACAGGGAACACTTTTGAGCCAGGATCGCCCGGAGCAGCTGCTCCGGCTGCGGCCTTGGAAGTATATTTCAGGCACGCGGCGGCGCCATCTGCGCTCGGACCCCAGCCCCGGCTCCACCCGGCTTCCCCGCTCGAGTCTGGAGTTTGGGCCTTTCCCGCCCAAATCCACAGCCGAGTAAAGCCGAGGTCCGGTCTCCCGCGGAGCGAACTAATTCAAACCTTCTGCGAAAGGATTTCCCCCTCCAGGGCCTACGGCCCTGAGCCTTGCAGCCGCGGTGCTCCAGAGGCCTAAGAAGGTGGCGGCGTACGCGGGTGGGCACACAAAGCAGGCGCAGTCAAGAACGTGAGGGCAGGTCCCTACTCCGCGCACACGTGCACATACGTCAGGCTCGCGCGTCCCGTGCACCTCTCCGCGCAATCCCTAGTGAAATGAAACAGGAAACGCCCGTGCAGTGCCCCAAGGCACTTTCTTCTTTCGAATTACCGAGATCAGCAGTTCACGCAAATTAATCTGCCAGTTTATGGCTTGTTTGCTCAGAGTAAGACTCCCAAAATTTTAATCCTGACATCACCCCTCCACCCTCCCCTAATCCCCAATAGGGAAACACAGGGTCAAAACGGAGGAAGTGACTCTTCACTGACTTTTAAGTAATGGAGAAAAAGCGATGAGTTTGAAGCCAGTGGGGAGAATGTGCTTGCGCGGGGCAAGAACCAGCCAGGGCGCAGGCCGGAGCTTGGACTGCCGGCAAGGGTGTGGGGTGCGCTGGGCGAGAAGCCATAGTGTAAGTCTGAGGTAGAGCCCGGGGCGAGAAACGCCGGTTCCTCAGTGGTACGTGAGCCCCAAAAGCCAGTGCAGGTCTCGAAGGTGCCAGGCCTGGACCCTGAGGATGAGCCAAATGTGGTGCCTGCTGGACATGCGCAACGCTCTCGCCTGCCCAGTCAAAACGGCCTTCCGCGGTGGCCGCGTCTTTGGTGAGTGACCTTGTGTGAAGGGGACTGAGGAGGTTAGGCTAGATCTGAATTCGTCATAGGCTGGTGAGGATGGATGTGCTCGGGAATGAATGCCAAAAGGACTTTTGTCGCGCAGGTCGGACGTTGGCTAAGTCAGACGCCCCCTGGATGCGCAGGGCCTGGAGAGCACACCGCGGTGGCTCCCGGGAGGTGGGCAGGGTTATGAAGATGTTCTGTGTAAATCCCTGGCCCTGACGCTGTGGCACAATAGAAGCCACCAGGAAGAAGGAAACTGTTCTAACCCCCTCTATCCCGTAGATGGAGCAAACTGATTGAGGGCAATGGGGAGGACAGGGAATTGGGAAAACCCTAATACCCAGAGTTTGGAATGTGATGGAAGGGAGCCGGAGTGTGCTGTTCTGCACCCCCTCAAGTCATCCCCCGTCCCCCCGCGGGCTTCACAGCTCCTTCTGAGGCACGTAGAAGGCGCAGGACTAACAGGCGACCCTCAGGTAAAGGTCTCTCCCTTCGCGGCTGGGCGGTGCAAGGCCCCTCGCTGGGCTCCGTCGTCCGCCTCTGCCCCTCTGAGACTGGTCCGACGCGCCGGGAGAAACCTTCTCTGGACAGATCAGCTCACAGCGTAGGCGCTCAGCGGTTCTGAATTTGCGTCTTCCACGCCCCACCCAACACCATTTCTTATTGAACACTTTATTTATTTGGGTTCAGACCTAGCCACTTTCGGGTTCCTGATTTTATAGGTTAAACTCCCAGAAAGAGAAGTTCGCGGGGTGACGTTCTTGCAGGGGGAAGGGGGAATTAAATTTTTAATAGTGGAGTTCGTACTGAAATTATATCGACGTATACCCGCTGCCGGTT